CCAGAAACGCATATCAGTCTTTTCCTCCAACTCTTCCCGTTTTTGTTAGTTGGGTTTTCTGATGTATGCATTTTGCTTCTATGGGCAACCTTATAGCAAAACGATTCTATTTTAAACGGTCCGTATCCTTTGTCCAGTACTTGTCACGCATTTTTAAGGAAGGGATAGCTCTGCATAAAAGATAATCGATCTTTAGTGAATGGGAAAGCTTAGTTCTTGGCAAAAAGCTGATCCTCGCCTCATGCCAATTAACAGTAGTAAAATGTGCATAGGGACTGTTTTGTCGGCAGGTGAAAGTAGCATTTCCATTACATTACTGAATCTTTTTTTTCTGATAGTTTACAGATGTCCTTTTTAGAGAAGGATTTTACCATTTGTCCACAACCGGCGTCTTACCGCTGTCCTTGACGTGCTTGTGGCTCAGTGCTGCTCTGCCGTTCAGATTCTGGACGTGTCTGAAATCTGTGTGTTCCTCAGTCAGAAATGGCTCAGTGCTTCAGTGCCTAGTGGACATAGTGTGTGTGTTGTCCCCCTCAGTGCTCAGGAGAAGGAGGAGAAGATCAGGACGGTGGAAACGTTGCTGGAGGCTGGCCTGATCCAGGTGGCCAATAAGGAAGAGGAGCTGAAGGTGAGGGTCCAGGCGGGATCGTCTTCGCTCAGCAGCTCTGGTGTCGCTCTTCAGTGAGCTGCAGACAGAAGAATTAGTCACTCCGTTCAGACCTTTTCTGGGATAAACGCTGCTCTTAACACGGTTTCTAACCCTCATTTTCTCAGTCTTAGATGGGGAAACTGTATTTTGTATTTGTTGAGGTAGGTTTGAGTCAGTCACATTCTGCGCGATCTCTGAGCAATATTTTCCAAGCACCGAAAATGCTACATTTGAACTCTGGTTATTATATGCAAAAATGACCGTTTTTTAATATCTTATGGGGTTTGTTATGAAAAGATGGAAGGCGTTTGGGATCTTGCGTTGGAGCAGGTTTGCCGTGTTTTTACGACAAGGTGCTGTCTGTGCCTTTCCTTTCCTTTGTAGGCTTTGAGGGATGAGTGTGTCTCTTTGAAGAGGGAAATAGAAGCCCTGCAGCAGCAGCAGACTGAACAGGTATGACGTTTACCCTTCACTCTTACACGGTTCTGAACCCTGGATGAAATCATCTTCTCAGTCCTCACTCCTGCTGTCATACTGACCTTTGGCCTAAACCAGTTCTGTTTTCTAGCCTCTGCTTTAACCCTGAGCCCATTTCTGTGTTTCCTTGCAGACCGCGTCGGAAACACTAGCAGAAGAGCTACGGAGAACGTAAGTGTGTTCGAACGCTACCACTTGAATCTTGAACCGGATGATGCCGTCCGTCGGCATGTTGCCTCGCCTCTGTGCTGGTGTGAGCGCTGTTGTCTCGAGCCTCCCTAGTTAAGGCGGATGGCCCGGGAGACATCCATCAAATTGATTTGCAGAGGCGAGGACGGTAACGCTCACCGTTTTGGTGTACGTTTCCCTTAGGCTCCAGGAGAAGGAGGGCTGGGTCAGGCGGCTGGAGGAAAGGCTGCAGGCGCAGGTGGAGAATGTGTCGCACAAGGAGAAGACCATTGAGGTGCTGATCCTGGCTCGTCTCACAGAGCATGCACTCGCCCCCTCCCCCCGGGCCCTGAGAGGGACTGGATCTCTGATCCGCTAGTTTCGGAGATGGAATAGAGCTGTAGTTTCTAACTGCAGACTCCACTGCCTCTTGGGTCTGTGCAGATGCCTAGCTTTTGGAAAGGCTGCAGGGCAGGCGCTCTGAACTGGTATCGCTCTGAAATGGTATCTGAAATGGCTTGTGCCACTTAGTCGCCAAATAGATGGGGCACCTGCAGTGCCAACCCACTGCACAGCATTCCCTGCACCCACCTGTCCCTACATTCACATCTGCAGCTGTGTTTTTCTAGCTTGAGCCTTGTTTGCCCTGTGCTGCTGATCTGGGTCTTGTTCCCGCGTTGATACTCCTGATGAGAACGTGGGATGAAAGTGGCTCAGGTTCTTACCATTTCTAACATTTTTTACGTGATGTCTTGAACACGTGTGCGACAAGGCTAATTGCAACGTGGGGCTGCAGTTGCTTAAAATAGGCGATTTGAGTGGAACCAAACCCCAGATCCGTAATTGAAATTATTTGTCTGGCGTTAATACTTATCCTGTGCCTTGTGCTTTTGGTCTGCTTCTGTCTGATGCTCTACCATGCTGACTGTTGGCGAAGGGGTAGTCTGCCTTTGTCTCTCTCTTGTCCGTTCTGGGACGCTCTGCTGGCCTGTGTGGGGCAGCTCCTGCCGTCATCGCCTTTTGTGTTTATCTTCGCGCTGGGCTCTGTGCTGTATCTCCTCTCATCCTGCTGTGCGCCCCTGTTGGTGTGAGAGTTGTGCTATGTCTGGTTTGCCGTGTGCGTGACCCCCCTCGTCTTTTGTGTTTCAAGGCCCTGGAGCAGCAGGCGGAGGTCCTGAAGGCGGAGATCGAGGTGGCCAGGAATCGGGAGGCGAAGCAGGTACAAAAGCTACTGTACAGGAGAGGAGCACAGGGTGGGGCGGGGAATGGAAAAGGAGAAATATCTCCCCCGTTGATAAAAAAACAAAAACAAGGTGTGCCTTCTGAGCTCAGTGCTTCAGAGATGACTCTTTTCTTGGAAATACATTTCATGCAAAATGCAGATGAATAGGTTGGTAATACTCCAAATATTCTATCATGATTTGGGGTTGAGAAAGATGTGGTAGGATCTGAGCATCCATTTAAATGATTTTTGTGTGTCTCGCTCAGTTTGATGTGCCTCTTTCCACAGGCCTCCACCAAGACCCAGCTTCAGGAGCTCCAGACACTGTGAGTTCAGCACTTCTCTTACAGCTGGCCAGGAAAGTGCGTGTTGTAGAGCACCTTTGTACCGTACACAGTTTTGTATTGTGGTATTAACTGTGTGTTGTCAGAAATACCCTGATACAGTGGTTCTTAGTCCTGTTCCTGTGTAACCCTGGTCTCTGCTGGCTTTTACTCCAGCAGAGCTCTTAATCACAAGCCAATTTATACTGCTTATTTGAAAGATCGTGCAGATTTGCAGCAGGTTGAGGAGAGACTGCATAAACCTCTCGTGCTGAAGTTGTTTGAAAATGCATTTTATCTGTGGTGTTGATGAAAGCAAGGCATGGGAATGAGCGCAAATAATGGTCTAAAGCAGCTAAGCGATGAGTTACGGGCCGCAGTTGGACCCAGCTGGATCAAAACCCCGCAGGGACCGGGAGCCAGTGGTGTGTGAGGTAGGACAGGGGGAGACGGTGACGTGTGCCGTGTCACTTGCCAGGCTGACAGCGAAGGAGGAGGAGGTTCACGCACTCCAGAGAGCCACGGAGGAGCGGACCAGAGAGGTCGCAGACAGGGAGCAGCGGCTCCAGGTGAGACCGGGGTTAAGTGGGAAAGAGTCACGGGGCGGCAATGTGCTCTAAGAGGAAGCAGCCGGAAGGAGACGCCAGAGCAGAAAAAGAACGGAGAGGAGCGGAGTGGTGGCGAGGCCGAGATTGTCCGGAAGTGCAGGGAGAATCCGAGCCCCCGGGGAAGAGACGGTTTGCAGGAAGGAGAAGCACGCCCGTTCACTGCCTTCGTTTCCTCTTCCTCCAGGTGCTGCAGGAGGAGAGCTCGCTCCTCAGGGGGCAGGTGGAGGCGCAGCAGGTACTGCTCTACATATCTCCTCCTGCGTCCGCGCCCTCGTTCTGTACGGAGCAGCTGTTCCAGAGCTGTCCTGCCACGCGCAGCAATACTAGATTGAAAACTCTCCTTGTCCGTCCTTCCTGACGTGCTTAGTTTTTGGCAGTTTTGCATGGAGAAAGCACATTGAGCTAGACCGGCCTTTACAGTCAGTCTGGCCCAAGGCTTTGGAATGGTCCGCAGTAGTGAGAGCATTGTTTTCCTGGACAGCGTGGAACAAGCCTAGCCTGGAGCTGCAGGGCCTCATTGCACTTTGTATAGTTGGTGGCTCCTGACCAAACTTGGTTCCCATCAGACTTAAAAAAAAAAAAAAGTAGTGGAAAGGTGACTCCAGCACTGCCCAGGTCGGAACTGTGCTTAGAAAAGGAAATTAGTATCTTTCTGTTTCTACAGCAGGTCCAGGCAAGCGCCCCCAGTCAGGAGTTATTGAAGGCGTGAGTATGTCTTCTTGTTGTATTAGTATAGTTGAAGTGCACATTAAGCAGTTGAGAGCGGTCTTCTGTGCTTCAGCTGGCTGTTTTTCCCCACACTTCTAAAGCTTTATGGGCGGTTATGGCCTCGTTAATCTGACATTTTTATAGTATGTGGGAAGCCATTCTTTTTCCTAAAGCATCTTTGCTTTAACGTCCATGGAGACAAAAAAGAGTAGCATTTTAGTAGAACATGTTATTTTAGAACGTTTAGTCTTGGATTAATAACGTATAAATGTTTTATTTGTTAGTTTATAGGCCAAGGCTTACAGAATGCATGGCTCAGTCTCTGAATGTCTCAATGGCGTCTGTGCTGTTTGACCTCTCCAGGCTGGCAGAGAAGGAGAAGCAGGTGGCAGAGTTGCAGCGCGACCTGGCACAGATGCAGGACTCCTTGGAGGTGCACAGGAAGAAGAACAATGTAGGTGCACATGTGCAAACTGCCCACACAGGGTGCTGAGGCCCGTGTGGGAGCAGGGGGGTGAGGGGGGTAAGTGTGAGAGTCATGGATGTGCTGGGACAGTCCTGGGCTGTTGTTCCTAGACCCTGTGTCCTCCAATCCCAAAACCCGAGGGTGAAAGCCCAGTTCAGCTTTCAGACATCCTTCTCTCTCCTTCCCCCATAGCTTTCCCCTTTTTTCCACTTGGTAACACGGCTTTTCCAACGGGAGGATTTTAAAGCTTGTCCTACTGAAAAGTGCAGCAGTCCTCTGGCATCCCAGTTCAGCAGGCATGTTTGAAATGAGACGGTTTAAGCTTCTATTACTCCGATAACTAAGAGCTTAGCTGAAAGGAAAACCAGGAGACCATGTGCCCCTTGAGGACTGGAGTAGTGCATGTAATTGAACAATTACAGTAATTCAAGAATACTACAATGCCGCTAGACCTCTTAGAACTAAGTGAATGTACCCATGATGTCTGAAGGTGCCTTGGGGCCAATGGTCTGACAGGAATTCCCACATCTTAATTCTGACATTCTTCCATTTAGTGATAGCAGCAGAGGAAACAGTTAGAAATGAGGGAGTGTTTTGTAGCTGTCCAGTGGTGTGATTTTCTCAGTCTTATCAATAGCACTCTTGCCCAGTTCCCTGTTGGCAGCTCCAACTAAACCAAAAAAGGTAGAAAACTGAATTTTACATTGAAAGTCTTCCGTATTTGGACAGAATTGAGGAGACACTGAAGATGATCACAATAAAAGATTCCTTAGCCAAAATGGCGTACTCTTTTCCTCTCACTTGTTAGTGCACTATGCATGTAGGGTGAGCGGGTTTTCAGGGCTCGTCGGCCGTTTTCTCAGGCAAACTGATGGTGTTTGGCAGAGTAGAAGTCTTGCTTGGTTTGGCCAAGGGAAGCGAAGTAGAACTTGGCAGTAATCATGCAGTGCAAGCACCAGCACGAAGGACTGAATTCCTTTTCACTCCACAGAGGTGGAGTGCTGACTTGTGTGAGATCAGCAGCCTTGGCAGTTTCTGTGGCAGGTGTGTCGCTGTTAAAGCCTTTGCCCTGTGAATGCACTGCATCAGTGTACCTTCGCGGACGGGCTCGGCAGCATGCTTTGCTGTGGCATGCTGTGGGCCCGGCAGAACAGGTGGAGCTCGTGCAGGTCTGACATAACATGGGGCCTGGCTGGACTAAGGAGGAGTGCGGGCGGTCTTCAGTCTAGGCTGGGCTTTATAGTGTCACCACCCAGTCACATAACTCGGGGGTTCCCAACTCTGATCCCAGAGGAACACCATTGGCTGGTTTTCTCTACATCTCCACTGCTCCTGGTGGCTTCAGTGATCTCTTTTGCTTGCTTAGACTTTTATTTAAATTGTTTCTTTGGTCGGTACAGAGTATCAAGAATACTGTACTTCAAGAGTACCGTTTTGAACAACTTCAGCAAAACCACTTTACACAGCTTCTCCTCAGCTTGCTTATTGCTTACTGTTGTTTGTAATTGAACAGCTCTTGCTAGTCAATCAATTGATGAATTGACACAAGTGTGAATAACGTACATCCAGCAATGAGAATTTGTTGCTTCTATACAGGATTAATTGGTTGGTGAGGCAACACACCTGAATAAGGGCATTACTGAGACTCAGGAATTAGTGTTGGATTGATATCAATTCCAAATTTCATTTGCCTTTTTAAGAGCCGAAAGCAAATTTACAAGTGCATGCTAAATAGGAAATGGAAATCAGTTAGCCTATGAGAAGGTACTTGGCTGGAGTGAAAACCAGAAGACGGCGTTCTGCAAGAAACAGAGTTGGGAACCACTGCTTTATCATATAACCTGTGAGGCTTGTCCTTGCTGTAGAAGCAGTCCTGTTAACGTGTCAGCTACTGGTCAGTGTCCACTTGCCTGACCTGTTTTGTTTTTTACCACAGCAGCAGAGAAGTCCCTCATGGAGGTTTCTCTCTAAGGATCAGTTCAATTATAAAAAATAATTTGTTTTGGGGGGTTACGGGCATTCTAATTAGATGACCAACATTTATTTTGTATAAGGAAAGACAAGTCTCAAACCCCATTGTCTTGAAATCTTGGATCCCTGTTGTGTCTGTGGGTTTTATCCATTTCTGTATGCTTTTTTTGTGGCTGAACTGAAAAAACGTATCTCTCTGAAACTGACCAGGAGCTACGTGAGAAAAACTGGAGCGCAATGGAGGCTTTGTCAGCCACCGAGTCCGTGCTGCAGGGGAAACTCAACAAGATCACCAAGGTTCGGTTATCACCTCCAGTCTGCTTCACAGTACAGACAAATCTGACAAAAACCAAACAAGAAAAGTGCTTTGCACTAAAATGCTGCATATTCATTTCCACTCAGACTCTTGCTGAGGACAAACAAAAACTTGAAAATAGTTGCATAAAACACTTTAGATACTGTATATCTTTAGTAATACAGGTGATTTTCCCCTTAACTTGATAACTGACTTCAGTCCTCTTTAATGCTTGTGCAATGCTCCTGGGTGTCACAGATGTTCAGGGGAGAGGAAAAGCTAATGGGGAAATGGACTTGAAGGTATTTTATGCAGCTGGCCGCAGATCTGTGCTTTGCTTCCACGGATTCTTTGCCATTTTGCTTACCACACCTATTGAACTTTTTACCATTCCTGGCTTATACAGAGTCACTCTGTCATCTGTGTTCAGAATGTTTCTATAAAAAGTATAACGTAGTCCATTTGAAACTGCGATAGCCAACCATTGTCTTATTAGTGTGAAAACTATCTTATCTTAAATTTCTTAAAAAAAACTGATTTTTAACAGATAGGATCTCTGCACTGGTGATTTGTTCAGCTGCAGTGGTCCACAGCTGCCCTTGATTTTTAAGTTACTGTGATCTGCTTGCCTGAACACCGGCAGAGGTTCGTGGAGTCATGTTTACAGACGCAGAGTTTGAGAATGTGGGTTGGGGAACAGTCCCAAGTTCAAGGATCTGTCCTGGAAATCAATATGCAGTTACTGACCACTGACTTCACCTAATTTCCATTAGCGAGAATGGGTCATTTAATCCACGCTGCCCATCCTATACCTCTGCTCTGTCTCCTTCAATCCCTGATCCCTCCCTGACCTGATCCCTCTGCATGCCATCCCATCTGCATCGTGCCCTGTGACCGTCTGCCATTTCACTGTGGATTGTCGGATGCATTGATCTTTTTTTAAATTAGTCCTACTGTGTATGCTTTTGAGTTCATGTATGCAGGCTAGCTTTTGTGTTTGGCAACAGAAGTCAAACCTTCTGTCTCTCACCATTTGGGATCAATGATTTTTTTCACAATGACACTTTCCACAATGATTGCACTTTTTGCTAAATCTTCTGCAGTTCTATTTTGGGCAGGACACTTTTTGCAAAAGCGGATTTACAGTAGGTCTTATTTTGTTTTCTAATGAATAAATGCACTGCTGTTTTCCGGAGCATGATCTCCTTCATCTTATCCCATCGAGAGTTGCACACGGTTGCATGGCTGGGCTCTCCACCGTGCTGGAGGTGCTGACCTTGAGGACTTTGAAGGGTTTTTCTCCTGCTGGAGTAGAAGAATGATAACTTCAGAATTTTGTGGTCTTCCTTTTAAATGGATTGTTCTTTTGCTTTGCGTGCTTCAGAGCATCGGAAAACTGCTAATCGCATTTAAGTGCCGTCGCTAATTGCAAATAAGAAATCAAGAAATAAGGGGAGGCCATTTTGCCCATTTGATAGTAGTTAATTCACCCAAGGATCTCATCCTACCTTTTCTTGGTAGAAACCAAGTCATTTGCTTTAAGGACATGGTTGGGTAGCTTGCTACAGCCTCCCACGATTCGCGATGAACTAGAGCGAAGCAGATGTTGGGCGTCTTGCAAAAAAAGGCTTCTCCAGCTTTATTGTTACTAATTTAACTGATGCTTTTATTAAAAGTGACGTAGATTTGTGCCCGTTTATAGAACCAGTTATTTCTTGGTGAAGTACCGTATTCTAAATTGCAACAGCAGTGTTCCACCCAGGATGTGAAGCCCCCCAGCCTTCAAGTTCTGATCTCGGAGCCTAAACCACTCCCTCACCCAGTCCTCTCTTCCTAACATCTGATGAGTGGGAGTCCATGTGTGAGTGTGGGCAGCCCTAGTGTGGCATTGTTCATCTTTCAGGGACAATGTATACCCTGCAGGCTAAACCCTCCCCCCTTGGGACGAAGCGTGGTGCCAGCAGCAGGGTACTGAAAGCTCCGTGGTTTCTCAGGCCTTCCTCAGTGGTTACCTGTAGCTTGGCTTATTTCCACAGCTCTGACTTCCAACACCGTGCATGGTAACCTACAGCTGGCTAGCGTTTGTTATAATGTCTGTTCTTAAAGGTAAGCGTGTGCTCCTGTTTTCTGTAGGTATTTAGGATTTGATATGCAGTCTATGACCTCTACAAGGGCTTTCGTCTTGTCTATTAAAGGATGAGCGTGTTATCAGCCCCGGGGGCAGGGCACCAGAAGTAGGCTGTGAATAACAAGTTCTTCAGAGCTTCTGTTTATGTAGCAGTGAGGATGGCACACACGTGCTGTACAAAAACTAGATTGTAGGAACATCTATTCAGCAAAACGGGGATGAAAAAACGTCAGCTGCTTACTTGGAGAAGTTAGGTACCAAAGCAATATTGTAGTGTTTTGTGCCTCTAGATGCCGTGTCTTTATGCTCCTCAGTTTCATTACCTGTTTTTAATCACTGGCTGTAGTTAGGTTTTCTGCAAGAATTGGATAGAAACAGAGGAGAGGCTCTTTAAGACTCAAGAGCTGGAGGAACGGAGATAGGTCCTCTCTAGGAAGCACTGACCCACTGCAGGTTCTCCATCCATGGGACCCTGCCAAGCCGAAGTATTGTTGATTTTCAAATGCCTAGTGAAAAGAAATTAATTAATGGGGGTTCGTTAAGGGTAATGTAGAATTGCTGTGTAATAGATGTACCAACAATTCATCAAGAAGGCTAGATTAGGTCACTTAATCCAAACTCCTCGTGGAACTGACCCTCCCCTGCATGTACAAACTCGAAAGGGACCGTCGTTGGCTAAGCTCTGCAGGTCCTGAGGTCTTCCAGATGCCACGGTGCCCTCGGGTCCCTCCTTTAGATCCAACTCGTCCTGGACGATGAACGTGTTGTGGGTGTAATTTCCTGTAAGTGTATTTAGAGCTGCCTGATGGGTTGTGTTTAAAAGCACTTTTCAGAGCAACAGACCGAGTGCAATAGCCGTGTCTACCTCCTGCATAGGGAGGGGCTTCTCTTTGTGCTGGTGTGGTCCCTTGAACCAATTCTTCCACGTGTCTCATCTGTTTCCAGATATTCATCCATCAAGAGCTTTAACTGTCAGACGTCTAGAGCGCCGTGGCTCTTGGGTGCAGGAGTAGATGTTGCAGCAGTAGGTCATACAGTACGCGCACCGAGAATCCGTACCTGGTTTTCATTTCTGATGAGTGCTGGTAACCAGTATCCTGTCAAGTGAAGATTGTCTGCTGGCTGGAAGTGAAGGCGGGAGCCGATCTTTGGCAGGGGTTCAGGGGGAAGTGAGCTCTGAGGACCGAAGTGCTGGGACTGTGCCTGTTCCTAAAGACACCGGGATGTGTTGCGGTGCTGCAGTGTTCGGGTCAGCTGTAGAGTGTGACGATTGAAGCTGAAAGTGTCCAGCGCTAGTCACTCAGAACAGAAGGCTCGGGGACTGGAGCTGACGTGAACGAAGAGAGTGGATGCAAAGGGTGGAGCTTCAGCCACCAGCTGAGATCTGATGGGTTTTATGGCTATACGGTTGTTTCTGATTACTTGATTTTAAGTTGGTCTTTGTGACGTTTTTTGTAATTGCATCTATACCAGGCGGAAGTAGAGTAGGCCTCAGGGTGGTTAGAGCAGAGTAAATGAGATATGATCATGCTGAAATGACAAAATTGCTCCCTGCCGTTCTCCTGCAGTGAGGCCTGTCTGTCTTATTCTGGGGACTGCAGTTATTTTACGGAGTCTCGCCCACTGCAGTCCCGGCAGGTGTGTGCCTGTGCATGATTTATATCCGCATGGTTCAGTGCCGTGTGTAGGTGTGTGCGCAGCGTGGGGCTGCGAGTTAAAGCTCGTCTCGTTGCCTCTACAGGAGAGTCAGAAGGTCTTGGCTGAGGCCGAGGCTCGGAGCCGAGAGGTTCTGCACAGGCTCTTTCCTGACGTGCCCCTGCCTCACAAACAGGTAACCCGGCCTGAATTGCTATGCTGACGCTAAATGCATGAAAACTGAGTGAACATGCATAGGGATGAGTACAAGCTTTTTAAATTTGTACTCGCTTTATTTAGTGCTCTTAAAGGGGATTTGATTGGTATTCATGTAGGTTTCTGCCTAGCTCCTTTGCCAGTTTGTAGTGGTTTCCTGGCTGCAGTGGTATTATTTAAAATAACAATTTTTTTCCTCTTTTTAGAACCATGAGGAGTGGCTTCAGGAGTTTGAAAAGGCAGCAAGAGAAGTAATGAGATCAGCACCGGCAGATGGGGTATCTAAGGTGAGCCCACGAATCCCTCAGGATCTGCTCTGTAGGATTGCCCGATATGAGCACCAGTTAGAAGCAAGGTGCACAGTGGTTAAATAGTCCTGTTCAGAGTGAATGTTTTGGCACAGTTCTAAGATGGGGAATTCAACGGGTTCCTGACTGTGGCAAGGCTGACTGTGGCAATGATCTGCCTCTCTGGGGAGAGGAGTCTGAGGGGTGGGAGCAGGGCACTGCGACAGAGTTCGTACCTGAGCTCAGGCCTTTGTCTCTGCAGGAGCTGGAGGAGAAGCTCAGGGAAGCGGAGGAGACCCAGAGGATTCTGCAGAAGGACTGCGAGACGTACAAGAAAGTGCTGGCGGAGACGGTGAGGCCTGCTCTGGGGAGGGAGCGGGGGGGGTGTCATGTCCTTGGCGCCTGGGCGGCTGTGACTTTCCTTCCTGCCCCGTCCACAGGAGGGCATCCTGCAGCGGCTTCAGAGCAGCGTTGAGCAGGAGGAGTCTCGTTGGAGGGTGAAGCTGGAGGCGTCGCAGAGCGAGCTGAAGCAGGTAGGCCCGGGGGCTCCGGCTGCCCTGAGCTGGGGCACACAGCAGAGTGGGGTGTTCTGCCTGCTGAATCCCAGCGCCTGCCTGTGTCTCTCTCCTAGGTGCGTGCCAAGGTCGCAGTGCTGGAAAGGGACGTGGATAGGCTGAGCATAGAGAGCATGGAGGCTGAAAACGTGAGTATCTCCCAGCACTGCCAGGGAAGTCGTCATGCACACGGCATGCTGGAGACCAGCTGCCCTCATCTTCAGCTTAGTTTTCTTTATTATTGAAACGGTTAATTTCAGACAACCCCTGTGATTGACCGAGGCATGAGAACTGATGTTCTTCAGTTGCCATATCACGTTCCAGTTATCGTGCCTGCTGGTCCTGTCAAGGTTCCTGTTGTAATTGAGGTTGCATGCAGGTGACGTTAAAGGCTTTTATGGGATCCTGTGCACGGGTTTTCTTCTCTGAGAAAACCTGGGCACTGCCATGCTGTGCTAGTGTGATTGTTCGTATCTTTCGATGTCGGCTGTGGCAGGAGAGGCAGCACCTGGAGGCCGAGCTGGGCAAGGCGGAGCGGGAAAGTGCCACCTACGTGTCCGAGGTCAGAGAGGTGAGTGCACAGCCTGTAGCTGGGCAAATGGATCAGGGATCAGTCCTGCCATAGATCCGAGCTCACAAATCCTGGGCAGCACCTTGAGCTCATTCTTTCACGTTGCTGTCCGGATCCCGGTCTGTCCCACTTCATTTCCCCCGAGTTATCACTTCGGCGAGACTGGGCAGCTGTACGATTTCTTAAGAAAGCTTACAAACGAGACGAGACCATTCAGCTCTTCCAGTTCTTTGGTTATTGGTAGCAGATCCAAGGATCTCATCCAGCTGTTTCTTGAACGAAGCCAGGTTACCGGCTTCACCAGCACAGCTGGGAAGCTTGTTCCAGACCCTGACCACTCTGTGCGTAAAGACGTCCCTGTTACAACAGTCCTTTTAACTGTTGACATCCACGTGTTTCTGCAGCCCTTAAGCAGCCCCTTTCTGTGACTTTTTTAGAGCGGGCTTGTTTGGAATCAAGGCATCTAAAACAGTTTTAAACTTCATTTCAGCTGAAAGATCTGTTGACTGAATTGCAGAGCAAACTTGATGGTTCATATACTGAAGCAGTCAGGCAGAATGAGGAGCTGAACTTGGTAAGACCTGTCGCGACAGCGTAGAGCAGCTGCTTTCCCACAGTCCCCTGGGGCCAGCAGTCAGAGGGAGGGGCCACTCTGACTCAGTGGATGAGCAGTGGTGGTTAGCTCATCCACAACTTCAAAAGCGTGCCATGCAGCAGGTCAGAAAGATTGTTCCTGCTTTGTTTCAGCTTTTTACATCTTGCCCGATGGAAGCTGTGGATGACAAGCCATTCAGTCCTGCTCGATCTTACTGGGCCCCACTAACATTAACACACATGCTGACAGGCCTGGAAACCTCACTACTATTATTAACGCGTTTGCTCACAGACAGCCTGTCACGCAGCACTAACACAGTCTCATTCAGTGAAGGGGATGTGCAGTGTAATAGCTAACACCTGGTCAGAACAGGGTATTCAGATACAACTACCTTCGCTACATTTTGGTTATCTAGGCAGTTGTGAAAAGTAATTTTTGCATGTTGTCACTCTCAGGCTTCGGCAGTATTTTCTGTGTCTATGATGCATATTTGAGGTTTTTAATGTTACCTCTGTCCTCATGTAAAACTGTCCTGACAGACATGCCTTCCCTCTTCCAATGTAATCCCACCGAAGAGGCTGTGGTGGGTGAAAGGTGAAACCACTGAAGAGCTTTCATTGTGGTATTAATTTGATTGTTGCTGATACTGGTCTACAGGGCAGTGC